GGGGCCCCTGCCAGTGACCCCCCTCTGGACAACACCTACTGGACAAGGACCCCTTTCCAGCCTGGATAGGCAGCTATCACCCCCCACACCCTCTTCAGCCAAGGACTTGGACTCTGCTTCTCTTCCCTACCTGGACTCCAGCCCTTCCACTGAGTCTCTTTCTCCTGCTGCCATTGTGAGTGTGTGTGTGTGTGTGTTTGTAGGAACCAATAATTTCATGGGGTTGTGTAGTGTGTTGTCTGTTTAATAAAACTGTTATTTGGGCCCCTTAGTTGGGTTTTGCTTTACTACAGTTCAGTCCCTGCTCCAATCTCTGCTCCTCACCTCTGTCTCACTTCTCCCTCTCCTGCTTCTGGCTCACTGCCACCTCCAACACCTGTCCTGAGCTCCTCTCTGCCTCCACCCCCACTATTTGTTTGCCACTGTCTTATCCCCACCGCCTTTTCACCAGATCTCTGCCACTGTTATTGCCTTGTCCGCACTGCCTTTTCCCCTAAGCTCCCAGGTTTCTGTCTCAGTCTCTTTCCTGGCTGTCTGCTCCTTGCCACCAGGCTTTTTTTTCCCTCGCACCAGTGATCTCGAGTAACCCTGGGGCCACCTGATCTTAAGTAAACCCAAGCCTCAGTTCCTCAGTCGGCTTCTTGCTAGTCCACCAGTTCTAATCCTGGTTCTGGCAACTTTCACTCCCTACACTTTAACTCTCTCTCTCACCTTAACATTCCCCCAAGTATCCCAGGTACCCCAAGCACACACATGCATACCATACCATCCAAGTTAGGAACTTACCTGTGTGTATGTGTAGGTGGGTTGTGTGTGTGTGCATTGTGTGTGTGTGTGTGTTTGTGTGCGGAGTGGGAGCTCCTGCACTGAGACTCCCACCTCACCATGCCCGTCCACCTTCCAGACTCCATGTGTCTCTCCAGGGGCACCTAAGCCCTGACAGACCCCCATTCGAGCCCCACTGCAGAGTCCAGGGGTAACGTGTGCTGCCAGCACCCTGAGAAGGGACTGTCTGGGTCCTGTGTCCTCAGGGAAACATAGGCCTACTAGTCCTACGGGTACTTGATCCAATACAAGAACTTGGGGCACTTCCCC